GCCACCATAATAATTATAGATATGCGCCGAGATCGAGAAGAAAAAAACAGCAGAAAATCCGGCAAAGGGATCGTTGATCTTGAGCCCTTTTCCGTCTGTATTTCCCGAGTTTTGATTATAAATTTATTTTGTTGATAGTGGTTATTTCTAGACACACACACAGGCAAACTTTTAATCGTGACTGACGTGAAGGTCGGAAAGATGAGAGGGAATGACCTCAAGAAACAAAACAAAATCCGCCAACCATTCATCAGAAAATGAGATACGGAAATAATAATTATTTTTTCTTGACTATATCACCGATTTGTTTTAATTCCTTCAAAAGTTATTATTTAAAATTTTGTGCACATGACTTAAAAACTCTTTCTTGGAAATATTTTTCTATGGACTTTGATACCCATTTTGTTATCTAGAAGATATTTTTTGTGTGAACATGAATAGCAGAAAATTTTAGGAAAACTACGTGTTTTCAAAAAGTAATCGATCAAAATATAGAAAAACCTTTAAAAAACTAACTTCTTTTCATCCACTGCGGCGGATGGAGTGGAGCGGAGGCGGAAGTTTTATCATAATTCTTGCTAGTGGTGCTATCGTTTCGTCCAAAAATTCCTTTATTTTAAATAAATTGCTTTCAAAATTGAATGTAAATAATTTATTATAACAATGTGGACAAATAAAAAACAAGAAATGATAATTGCAATAATTTCAAATTTAATTTATATGCTTACTTATAAAATTGCCCCTTTTTATACCAGAGTCTAATTATTTCATTTTGATATTTTAGAGTGAAAATTTGGAGCTTTCTCAAGACAATTTTGAAGAGCGACCAAGATTTTAATTAATTGCATTATATAATCTCTCAGGGCCTCACCTCTTGCTTAACCTCGGCTGTCTTAAATGAGCCAATTTCGTTCTTGACGCATCGCCGAAATAATATCTCCTAATAATAGCATAATTTTCCCATTCGATTCAAGGCCCCTTCATGAGAAATTAGCTGACAAGTCTCTCTCTATTATATACAATTTAATTTTTCTCTCCAAGGAGCGGACACTTTCTTTCTCTGCTGATTAATTAAGATATAATCGCATTCGCAGAAGCACGCCAGCTGCAATTAGTCCAAAATTTAAACGGCCTTGCGATAATTAAGCATACAAAAACTGCTGACAAAATCCAGTAAACGGCTGCTGATTATCAACACTTCATGCGCGTCACCCAGCTGCATTTTTTTTTTCTATAATTCCGAGAAGAAAATAATTTGTAATTTGATTAACAAGCTTTGCTTTTTCCTGCTTGTAAAAAGAAGTAAAATATAATTTAATAATCCTTCCGCTAGGCATATAGTTATCTATCAAAACAGATATAAATTTTTATGTCTTACTCGGCTAGCAATTCGATAATGACGGTGCTCTCGACGCCAAAATAATGGGTCTAATTTTTTCCTGAAACAAAAGGCCAAGTGTAATTTCGAAGTTGAGCAGGAAAGGTCTCGTTTCTCATCTCTCTTCTCTCAACCCTGGCGGTCCGTCGTGTTAATAATCATCAGCTTTCGCGGCGGCGTTCATGACTCAAATATTAATCCTTTGAGCCGTACCGCTCGCTTAAGTTTTGCCTCTAAAGTTGTTTTTCGAGAAAGCATGCATGCATGCACGCGGCTACTTCTCTCTCGGCCACAAAAAGGCCCCACTATAGTCATTTTAACAAGCCTTTTACGACGAGCACGGCCTTTTTAAATCTATTCTGCCCGCACTTTGTGTGATGTGTATAAATGAAAACGCCGCTTCTCTCTAAATTAAACAAATTAAAAGAGTGCTAATGCAGCCGCGGCTTCTGGACGATCTCCTCGCAACAAATTTATTAACTTGCCTCAAGAAAGGAGTGGATAAAATTTAACGCGAATATGATGGCATCTTGCAAGAAATTTTACTGTCACATATTCTAACTAAAATATTAATTAACATGTTGGTAAAAAAAATTACTATTTTTTAATTTTTTTGTGTATTTATTTGACTAATATAATTTTTCTTTTAAAATATTATGCAAATTTATTTTTATTTAAAAAATTAATTTTGTTTTTATATTTTTTATTTTTCAATTTATTTTTATGTATTTTGCACATTTTTATAAATTAATCTTAAAATGTAATAATTTATATTTAGCAGCACTTTCGTGCTACAACATTAGAAAATCATTTTAATTAAAAAATTTTTGAAGTGGTTATATTGTCTGATGAAAGTTATGTCACTTTTCAATTATTGCAGAATGGATAAAAAAAAATTAAATTTAAATCTATTTATTATTTAATACCCTCATCATTAGAGGTATTGAATTTTAATAACTGATATTATTATTCAGTTCAGAATTGCAAAAAATTATTCATAATTACTGACCATTTCACTGATAATAGTGATAATGCTAAATATATTAATTATTTTGCTCCATATAATATAATGATAATAAAAATTTTTAAATGATTTTCAAAGTGTCATGTATTATCATCTCCTTTTTTTTTCATTTTCAAAACAATGAAGTCACCATTTTGCGCGAGCTTTGATAAAAATTTTAATAAAGTGATAAAGAGTAAAGAATATAAACTAAAGTGAATTCAAAAGTTAAAACTGGAGAATTTTGTATTACTTGATAATTTATGCACACGGTTTCTTTCATTAAAATTGCTTAATATTTTGGAAAAATTACCCCACAAATAACAAAATGCGATTTACTCATAAGAATATTAAGAATTAGTGAATTCAATCTTAAATATTTTAGTTCTTTTTCCCGTTTATTTCTCACACGCGCGTGCCATAAAATGATTAATCAGTAGACTTGTTTCAAGGCACACATGCACATGTGTATGTTTGGCGACCGAACGCAGATATAGGGACGTCGTGTGGGTAAAAACTCACTTATAAATGTTGATTTCATGCTTATCCAACACATATACGTACGCACGTGAATATAAGTAAGTGGTATATAATATTAAAAGCCTCAAGTGCTTTTCACTATTGAAAATAAGAAGTTTATATTCGCGTAATCTAGAATGTATCTGCGTGCTGAAGAGCAACGGACACTGACTCGTTTTGCACCTGCTGCTGCTCTCTCGAAAGAAAATTAAACAAACACATGCGCGCGTGTTTAATACGTAAAACGATAGTCATTTCTCATCTCGGCAGGTTATCAATAAATGGCGTTTCTCGAGCGGAAATCGTGAAAAAAAAATACAGCGACGGACGCCTAGCTGTAAATGACCAAAGTTGAGTTGTCAATTTTTGTTATTTATGGAATGCTTTCGGCTCCACTTGCTACTACTAAACCATAAATAATCGTAATCTCCGATGCTGCTGTGCGTTCAGAATAATACGTCCTGAAACTCCAGTTATGGCTTTCTTGCTCTGCTGGAAAGATGAAGAATGGTTTGATCAGGGGAAACCTCTTTTTTTAAAGTAAACTTTGTATCAAATAAAAAAAATTGGAAATTCTGCTTGAAAGGGTCAATTTTTCCAATTCTTTTAAAATTGTTTCAAAGTACATAAAATAAGCAATATTTTTTTATCTTTTATTCTAAAATTTATAACGGGACTGTCTGCACTTTTTTATTCTCATTTATTTCTTTTAATTTAAATAAATATCAATCAAATGGCTTCATACGGGAATTTTTACCGTCTTCACAGCTAATCATAAGTAGTATGACGATGCAATAAAATAAAATTTAGCGTAAAAAATTAAAAATAAATTATGTAAAGAGTTATAAAAAAATTGTAAATAAAAATTAATATTCTGTTAAAAATGAAAATAAAAAATAAAAAATATTCAAAACTAAAATAAAAATTTCATGTTCAAATTTAAATGCAAAAAATGCAAAAAAAATTCTATTTTTTGCTTATCTTAAAGTAGCGTAATTTATTTTAATTGTTTTATTATACGTTTCTAGTACAAAATGTAATTTAACCTAAAAAAAATTATAATTTAAAATTTAAAGTAATTGACTTTCCTAATGTTTTATTTCATAGTTATACAAATTTTTAATTTTTGTTTTGCAAAGTTAGTAAATCAGGAAATTTAATATTTTTTTTTTAATGAAACGTAAAAAAAATTATAGCGTTGAAGATGAGTTTCACAAACTGTCTTGGAATTCCCTGTTGCAGACAAAAGTCTAGCTGTTTGTGGTAGGTTTTGGGCGATCCTTGTTCTCCAACAGGAAATTTTCACGTATCAAATCCTGCTCCACAAGAGACACGAGAAAAACGCCCTAGCTATCGCAGGAGATCGGTTCGAAAAACAAACGACGCGCTTTGAACAATCGTCGATGATCTAACCAAGCCTAGGAGCAGCACAAATGATTCCCCAAAGGAAAAAAGAAGCAAACGGAGCAAGGTGAAATATTCCATTGTCTCTGCGCTCCGTGTAAAAAATCAAACGCACAATAGAGAGACGCGCGGCGAAATCAGTGAGCTCGAACGAAAAATAATAACTTCTCATGCTTGGTTTAGAAGAATATAAAAAAAAAAAATAGAATAAAACGCTCGTTTCCTCCCTCTGTCGTTCCATATCGTGCTTTTTGAGTTTGAGACGAATTCTTGAATGAACTCGCCTCTGCAGATTCCTGGAAATGCAGAAGAAAAAAATAAAGAATAATGTAAATAAAAAGAGGCACTCTCGATTTCGGAATCCGACCTGATCCACATTTGCTTCTGTCCAACTCGTTTTCACTGGCCTGTTAAAAAATGAGATGGGACAAAAAAACTTTGAAATGCAACTTACAATTAAAACAGAATAGACTGATGTATTCTGCTACAATTTAATTACAAATTAGTGACGGAGAGCTGCAATTTTGCAAGTCGGAGATCAGGTGGAGAGATAATTAGAGAGCACGTGTTCTATTCCAATTAAACACTTCTTCTCTTTTATTCCACCTCTAGTCTTATTCGATATCAAACACCTTTTTTGCTTTTTTCCTTTAATTAAAGCGGTTTAATTACAGTAAATGTTTGTGTTTGTTTCAGGTGAGATCATCAACTGCAAGTGGCCTGATTTTCTTCTTCTTCTTCTTTTAATATATAAGGCCGATGTGCCTATAAATCGTAAAAAGCTGCAGTGCTCGCTTGCCGAGCGGCCGAACGTGTGAGTAAAAGAGTGATAAAAAGTAACGATATGAAACTCTCAATTGCACCTTGTAATAAATCCTCGGCAATATTGCGCTTATTAATGAGGAAGAAGTCGTTCGAATCGAGATCACTTGAATTTAAAAGTGGAATCCGAAGCTTCGAAGTTGAAATATGAGACTTATTAAGTTCAGTTGAAACTCGGGAAATGAAAAAAAAAGAGAAGAAATTTTTATCTTCTTGGATATTAAAAGTTTAAAATAACAGTTTAAAAAACTTGAATTGGAATAAGTTTAGGAATGGAAAAAGGTTTGAGTTAATATGGTTCTTTTTTTTCAAAATTTGTATAAAATGATATGCTTCCTTCATACTTTGTTTTATATAAAAAGTTTTTAAATTTTCTTAATCACACCTTGGATTTTTACGTATTTTTTTAAACTTTTACATAAAATGGTGAAGGAGCTCAAAATTAGAACACTAAGTTTTCTTACGGCAAAAGAGGAGGAGATTTTAAAAAAGGATGTACCGAGGAAAAATGTATTAAAGCAGTAAATTAAAGGCAGAACCCACATCAAACAATGATTTAACTCAAAGTTCACAAGGCGTTTAACACAATTTTGACCGCGAAGGGGCACAGAAGCGAAATAAAACAACACCAAAAAGGCGAGCTGCCGCTTCATAAATTTTAATTTCCAACCGCAGAAGTCTCTTAAGAGTGAAGCCGGCTCTCTCAGGTCGGTTCGGGCTGTGATTACGCTTTAATAAATATACGTGGCGTAGCCAGTAGCTAATTTAAGATGTAATAATTGTTACAGTGGGCAGGCACTCCCCAGACGTAATAAACTATTCAAAGGTTTGACACGCACCGACCGCCGGTATTCATTTTTTAATTATTTCTCCGGGTGCTCCTGATTTAAATTGTGTTTACCTGCAGATGAGATGAATCATATTTTGAGGTGGGCCATATAATATTTTTTATCTAAATATTATTTATCAAGTTATTCCGGAGCTAATAACCGAGAGCGAGAGACCGTAAAGCTGTCTTCACAATGCTTTATGTTGTGTCATTTCGAATAATAACCGGCCAGCTGACCTAATACAATGTAGAATTTCTGATTCAAAGCCTGCTGGGAGGCCGTCGGTTAATTAATGTGATTAGGTAATAACCGTGTGTGCTGCGTTAGGGTTGGAACGCTTTTCCGAAAGTAGGACACGGAAATGAAAAGTGTCTGGAGAGAAAATAATAAAAAATTGTTGAGGTGCGTTTCTCTCTCTCTCATTCTCTGACTCGAATAATGTTCCACTTCCTTTTGTTGTTTTATTATTATTTAACTGTGAACGCTTTTCGAAGGAACTGTGAAACGCTGGAAATTAGGTGTCAGAATTGTCGGGCGTCTCTTTGTACACCGCGGATGGGTTAACCTCAAAATTAGAAAATGAATTGTCTGTCCACGTGAGAATCAAACGTATAATGGGAAAAATAATCCAGACACAAGGACGAGGATGAGTGCCCAAATGAGAAAGGGGAAAACGAATTAAAGGAGCACACAAATAGCACTTCATGTCCAAATGTGGCATTAAAAGCACCAATCAGAGTTTCTTTGAATAAAAGTCAAATTTTTATGTAGGTCAAGTTAAGTTGCTTTAGCATGAATTGTTCGAGGAATGAAATTTTGTAATATTTATATTTCATTGAAATAATTTTAATTTTACGCTTGTTCAATTATTTAGTCTTTACAATTAAACTTGTAATTTTTGTAATTTGATTTACAATTTAAAAAACATGTTTAACTAATTCTTGTCTATTTCAATTCTTTTGTCAGATGAAACAATCTTTAATTAAAATATCCAACTGATAAGAAAAACTTCAAATTCGATTTTCCAAGAAAAAATTCTGAAATAATGCAATTGCTATGAACAATATTTAAGTATTTTAATCTCGTTTGAGATTATTTTTGCATTTTTAGATCTGGACCAACTGATTTACTAACTTCTTTGCATTTAGAGCAATGAATTCCAATTGAATAACACTGACCTCATTGAAGACGCAATTAAACAAAAAATAAATTCCGCCAACCCTTTCTTTCGCCACTGAATGTATCCGAAACGATTGTACGGCCGGCCAACCGGTGTCTAACAATATGTAAACGCGTTTCCTGCCCAGATAAGACGAGCTGCTGAATGAGCAGCCAAGAGTAGAAATAATACACTCATTTGAATAATCCTGGCTTAAAATTACACGCAGCAGACCAAACTACAAAGAGAGGCACGCATGAAGAAAAGAATAACGAATCCGACAATGCACACAAAGCGAGTGCATTTCATTGTCGCAATGCATAATATAAATTTATTCTCGCCGTGACCTGTGACCTTTGCGCGACCCAAGTTCGAGCATAGTCGTTGAACCTGTGAATGTTCGCTTCCTTTGAGAGGCGCGTTCTAATTATATCTGGCACGGAGAATCTTTTTTTTCTTATTATTTTCTGGCTTGGGCTGAGCCGACAACCCACCTACGGCGCTCACTGGGCTCTGATATTTAGGTAAATCACCGGTGCGTTCAGCGTGACGCACTCAAATAATGGGCAGACAAGACCCCTTCCTTATTCCAGCGTCTGTGCCAAGCCAGACTCGCAGGGTATGTCTCGACTCGACTTGGTGTCTATCAGAAAAAAATAATGTAAAACGAGCCGTGGCTCGTGCCAAAGGAGTTAGTTTAAAGAAGGAGAAAAATCTTATTACTCTACTTAAAATTTGGAAAAACATAATAACATTTTTTCCCGAATTCCTCTATGACTATAATTATTTATTTTATATGCATCCCTAAATTGGTATGTAAAACAGTAGCACAACATTTAGTTTTTGTAAATACTCTCGGGTATTAGATTTCATGTTTACTATAACCTAATCAAATGAAATTATGGCATAGTTTGATTTTTATGATCTGCAAAATAATAATTGTTTATTTTATCTCAATGATGTGGATAAAACTTATAAAATTATTCAATCGACCACGAAAGGCTTACAATTCAGTCACCTTTATTTACTCATTTAGTATTTGCAGTTGCGGAGGGATAAGATTTATTTTTTGTGAAAAAAAATTATTGTATAAAATACAAAATTTTGTTCTGAAATCAAAACTTTTATTGTGTATTTTAAAATAAATAAATGAATTGATAAAAATTGTTAAAATTTTATTTCATGTCATTTAAAAGTACTCTTATTATTTTATAGATAATAATTTTAAGTTAATGTGATTCTAGTAAAATTAAAAACTGCTCAACTTGGAGAAATTTTGTGTCTAGAGCTCTTCTGATTTGAATAGGAAAAAGCAGACTGATGGCACACAAGATAAACTCATTCATTCTGTGAGAGATTTTATTTTTCGCAAGAAAACCCTGCAAATATTCATTCGTCTCTCTGCAATTTGCAGCTTTCCACGTGCACGTTCATTGTGCGTGTGTTTAATTTATTGAGGGAAACGTTTTTAGCAATTTTCACGACTCGAAAGGTCGAGATCTGTCGGTTTTCTACTTTAGCACTATCAAGACCTGGGAGGAAATTATCTTTCGCAGGCGAAAGTATAGTGAACGAGCCAGACAATGTGTGACGAAATTCATACATTACGTTGTGGCAATATGTCTGTGTGTGTGTGCAGAGATAAATCTATCTGTTGAATAATAATATTTGTAATGTAAAGTTTATCGCCGCGGCGAATGAAATTTAAATGCTAAATTTGTTTTGTTCTCGGTTATCGCAGACGGCTCATTTATTTCTGTAATGTAATCAGCCGGCTTTTCTTCTGATGAAAAGTTGTGACTCAACTTCGAGCTGGTTCAACGACTCGTGTCCTTTTTAATTATGTAGCCGGCGTCTGCCTTTTGAACGCCACTTTTACGATTGGAGTTTTAAATTAATTCGTCTTTAAAAGGCTGGAATAAGAAACTTGTTGAGACAGAAATAATTGCGACTAATTACTCGTTATTTTTGGAGAATGAATAGGTTAATCGTTCTAATAAAAAGATCCATTCCTAGAATTTATGGTTAATAGTTAAAGAGCAAATTTGCAATCGTTAATTTTTATTTTTAATGTCAATTAGCGAATTGTTTCACACTTTGGCGGTTAAAATTCCGTAATTTGTTTTTAATGAGGTATTAGAAAACAAATCTCACGAAGTGTTATGTGTTTATTTCTGTTTTTCTCATAAAAGTGAAAAAAAAAATACAAACCCACGCATACATAAATGAGGTAAAAAAACTTTCCACCAGAGCAAAATATTACACGTGCAATAAATGTTATACCTCTTTGGCTTCCATATATGTTGGGGATTGGCCATAAAAAATTCATTTTAATTTTTACCTACACGAAGTCCGCAGTAAAATACGAAAAAAGAAGCAATATCGCATGCAGACACGTAGAGGTCATTACAGAATAATTACTGTAAAATGCTTTTTCTTATGGTCAGTCGCAATTAAAAGCGGCAATTATTATTTCCCCGGTGCTCTTTGTGTGTCGATAAATGTACGGCTTTGCAAAAGAAGTATGCGACGACAAATAAATAAATAAATAAACCGATATTGCATTGCAATTTAAATTCCAGAAGCACCGAGTGACGTTTTGACGAACAACCTGATTTCGCGCGCCAGCATCTTTTTATCCTTTGCCCTTTGAGTACAGGCGATTCTTTATTGTGTTCAATTAAATTAAATTAGCCGCCGGTAATGGATTTCTGGTGTTAATTCTTTTCCGAATATAACCTTGATGTGTTGACGTGTCTGATTATATATTTTATTCCAATGGGGATGCTAATGACACGTCTGGCATGTAAGCGAAAATTTATGAATTTTTTTAAAGTTTCGGAAATTCTTGTAGGTCACTGCTGGTTTTTTTAATTTTATTTATACTATTATGTATTTTATATCATCGGGAATCACTCGATCTCGCTTCTGAATACGTCAAGAACAGTTATACTGTCCAATAAATCGGCAATTTGATGGCATGCAATTTCTGTAAAAGAGATG